TCCTTGCTGAAGACTTTGGTCACCACCTCCTATTTTTTGTGTCCTTGTTTTTAGTTTGGGTATCATTTCTGCTACATACAACATTACTGACTTACCTAGGAACAAGAAGTTAGGCTTAGTGTACAATCTAAGGAATAAGACAAACAAGCTCATTAACTTGAAAATCACATCAGGAAAATGACAAGGATTTAAACAAAACAAAACAAAACAAAAAAACACTACAAAGACATGACTTACTCAAGTGGGAGCTTTCCTGGAGAAAATGTGCTAAGAATAATACTGAAATATTTAACTGAACAAAATCAAAACTTAAAACACTTTATTTGAAACACAAATTTTGGTCCTGGTTCTGTAATTGACTTCGAGATCAAAGGAGAGTAAGTCTAAATACAACAATCTGGAAACAGAGTCAGGATATCATTATATCTTAAGCTAAAGAAACACAGGGCCGCTCCATCTTATAACAAAAAAACAATGTTATCAAGCTGCAAAAGATATTACTCACATGCCCAGATGATTTAATGTGTACAGGTACCCTGCTCTGTGCACTAACTACCTCCTCCAGATCTAGTAGCTACTTTCAACACACGGAGCCCCTTAGTTTTTCCCTTTTTACTTTCTTACTTTTTTCTTATTGGAAACTGGGAGCAACATTTTTCAACTGTAATTTTTACTTACAGTTTATTTACTGGTCAAGTTAAAAGTTTTTTGTCTCTTGATTTGTCTTTTGACTTTTTTTTTTTTGAGATTTTATTTATTTATTTGAGAAAGAGAGCGAGAGCAAGCACAAGTGGGGGAGGGGGTAGAGGGAGAGAGAGAAGCAGACTCCCCCCTAACCAGGAAACCGGAGACAGGGCTCGATCTCAGGATCCTAGGATCATGACCTGAGCTAAAGGAAGATGCTTAACCAACTGAGCCATCCAGGCTTCCCTGTCTTTTGACTTTTAAGAAATAGTAAAGGAAGATGTCCAAGAGAAGAAGAAATACACCGTAACATACTACCTGTTACTCCAGAGTCAAAATCTTGTTTCTAGAAATATCTACCAATCTGGACAGGTTTTAGCATAGAAAAACCAATCTAGGGATGCCTGGATGGTTCAGTCAGTTAAGTGTCTGCCTTCGGTTCAGGTCATGATTCCAGGGTCCTGGGATCGAGTCCCACACCAGGCTCCTTGCTCAGCGGGGAGCCTGCTTCTCCCTCTGCCTGCTGTTCCCCCTGCTTGTGCTCTCTCGCTCTGACATAATGAATAAATAAAATCTTAAAAAAAAAGAAAAACCAATGTATTTTAATTTAGCGGACACTGGGTGGCTGTTGGTTGAGTGTCTGCCTTTGGCTCAGGTCATGATCTCAGGATCCTGGGATCGAGCCCCGCACTGGGCTCCCTGCTCAGCGGGAAGCCTGCTTCTCCCTCTGCCTGCCATTCCCCCTGCTTGTGCTCGCTCTCTCTTTCTGACAAACAAATAAATAAATAAATACCATTTAGTTGTCAGCTTGGGGTTATTGTGACAAGAAAAAAAATAACAGTTCCATTTAAAAAATTACAGTTTTTAGAAATAAAGAATTCAGAAAAGAATCATGTGCATCTTCCCCAAACCCAGAATTAATTATTTTGCAATACTGATATTTGGTTACTGTTGCTTTTTTTTTAAGAAATAAAACACTAGAGATAATGTTAGTCTTCTCTGACCACCATTCCTGTGCCCCACTCCCCACTCCCTGCTCATCATTAGGTTACCTACTATTTTAAGACTGGGGTTTTCTTCCAGTCCATTAAATAAAATTTACATATATAATATCAATAAACAATATTACATATACATCAATAAACAGTAACATTTTGTATTTAAATGTACCGAAGTGGTACCACACTATGCATTTCTTTTGCTGTTTTCACTCAGTATGGCTTTTAGATTAATGATAGAAATTATTAACAGGCCTCAAAGTCCTCTAGGATCTGAAATGGCAATTAACATCTGACCACTCAATAATTCTACACTCTTAACCTGAGAGTAATGACAGACTTCCAGAGGTTTATAAGAAGTTCACAAAACAAATTTTTTGGACAAACGATTAGGTTTCATCACATTCTCAGAGGTCCCTAGCTTAAAAGGCGTGAGAACCACTGTTTTCCTCTCCTCAGCAGTAGTCCTTTCCTAAATTCATCTGCAGAATGCAAATTATTATTTTTACCTTTCAAAGGGGTCAGTTTTAGAATGTTTTTTGCAGAGTAGAGGACTACCCTGTTGACAAACTTTATTTGTTCATTTTTTAAAAAAGCTTACGTGATGGGAACTGTACGAGACAGAGGCTGCCGTCTTCCTGTTTGAGCTGGACCCGGACTCTGCCCCTGTACTGAACATCACGATTCCACTCTCTAGAGTACATTTTATTTTTCTAACAAAAAAAAACAAAAAAACACACAAAAAAAACAGGCTTTAAAAAGTTGTTACATCAATGAGATTCAGTAGGAAAAATAGTGAAGAAAGAACCCTCTTACCTCAAGGAATACATTAAGTCCAACTGCTGAGCACACATCTTGAATCTCAGTAGCTGTAGGATTTTCAACAGCCTGAACAGTTAAAAACAAAAACACTAAATAGCTTACCTTCAGTGGATACTACTATATTGTTGTGTAAATCATTTCAAATATGAGGATGACAACAGTTATCAAAACCTTAGATTTCCTTTGTCACTAGGTATGGTTGTTTCCACTGTAATTTTTAAAAGTACAGGAATAACACTGATTCATACTGTGTGTCCATCTCCCTTTCAACAGAACATACACTTCACAAAGGCAGGGACTGTTCTGTTTATCTGTATATTCCCAAGTATCTGGAATGATGCTTGGAACATAGTAGGTGCTCAATGAATACTGACTAAACAACTATTATAGATACAACCACTTTAGAAAATTGTTTGGTAGTATCCACTAAAGCTAAACATATGCATTCTTTATGGCTCTGCAATTCCACTTCTACGTACATATCCAAGAACAATACAAAAATATGTTTCCTATGGGGCACCTGGGTGGCTCAGTTGTTAAAGTGTCTGCCTTCGGCTCAGGTCATGATCCCAGGGTCCTGGGATCGAGCCCCGCATCGGGCTCCTTACTTGGCAGGAAACCTGCTTCTCCCTCTCCCTCTGCCCCTGCTTGTGTTCCCTCTCTCACAGTCCTTCTCTCTGTCAAATAAATAAATTAAAAAAAAAAAATACATGTTTCCTAGAAGAAAAACTCAAGAATGTTGACAGCAGTAATATATATAACAGCCTCTAACTAGAAACAACCCAATTATCCATCAATGGTAGGATGGACTGTGATATATTTATACAATTCAGTACTACAGAGCAGTGGTTTTCAGCAAGGCAATTCTGCCCCATGACATTTAGCAATGTTAGGAGACATTTCTAATTGTCACAGGAGTCAGGTAAGGCACTGGTATCTAGTGGGTAGAGGCTGAAGATGCTACTAAACAACCTAAAATGCACACACCAGCCCTGATAACAAAGAATTACCTGACTCAAAATGTCAATGGTGCTGCTGTTGAGAAACCCTGCTACACAGCAATGAAAATTAACAAACTACACTAACAAATGTGAATAAATTTAAGCTTAAAGTTCAGTGAAAAAAGACAGATACAAAAGTACATAGTGTATAATGCCTTTTAAATAAAGTTTTAAAACAAGCAAAAGTAATCTATTGCGTTGGAAGTCAGGATACGGTTATCCTTGTGTGTGAGTCTACGTGGTGGGGGAAGTGACTGTGAGGAGACAAAGGAATCTTCCTGCATGCTGATCGAGCTTTCTTTTTTTAATTTGGTTGCTTGGTTACCCATGTGTATTCTGTTTGTAAAGGTTAATCAAGATAGACACTTCAGACTTATGTATACTTCTGTGTGTATGCTGTACACCAATAAAGTTAAAAACAATTCAGTTATTCTCCAAATTATGTGAGAGCTTGCTACCAGAGGCCTCTGTCACAGTGGCTTGATGTCAGGCATTTTCCTGAATGAGTGCTTTGGTAGTCTCTTTTACCCTGGGGCAGCAGAGGAGACTTTCCTTTAGATATATTTAAACAGCAAAATGGGAGACATTAAATAACACAAAAATAATGCACTGCTTTAGGCCAAGTTACCTTGAATCTGTTGTTAGATTACAAAATTTAAGTAACTCTTAAAAAACAGAATATGACATCAATTTTGAAAATAAAAAGCTACAGGGGCACCTGGGTGGCTCAGTCATTAAGCATCTGCCTTCGGTGCAGGTCATGATCCCAGGGTCCTGGGATCGAGCCCTGCATCGGGCTCCCTGCTCTGCGGGAAGCCTGCTTCTCCCTCTCCCACTCCCCTTGCTTATGTTCCCTCTCTCGCTATGTCTCTGTCAAATAAATAAATAAAATCTTAAAAAATAATAAATAAAAAGCTACAAAGACCCTTCGCTTGTCATTAGGCACGTTCCAAACAAGTCACCACGCCAACTGAGAACTTGAATTTTCCCATTCAAACAGCACAAGGGAGAAATCATATTTTTTTCAAACTATTAACACCTACTTTTTAGAAGTATTAATTTTAAACTTTACCCCTCAAAAAAAAAAGATTATGGACATAAACTAGAGAACTCAACACATCTAAATTCTCTGCAAGTCTTGGGGCACCTGGGTGGTTCAGTCTGTTAATAATCAGACTCTGTTTTTTTTTTTTTTAAGATTTTATTTATTCATGAGAGACAGACTGAGAGAGAGAGAGGCAGAGGGAGAGGGAGAAGCACCCAATGCGGGACTCGATCCCAGGACGCTGGGATCATGACCTGAGCCAAAGACAAATGCTCAACCGACTGAGCCACCCAGGCGCCCAAGGGTCGGACTCTTGATTTCAGCTCAGCTCATGATCTCCGGGTGGTGGGATGGAGCCGCTCAATGGGGAGTCTGCTTGGGATTCTCTCTCTCTCCCTCTCCCCCCATCCCTGCCCCCCTCTTACTCTCTCTCAAATAAACAAATCTTAAAAAAAAAAAAATTCTCCGCAAGTCTTGTTTAATAACTCAACTGCATTCTGGAGTTGAGTTATATAATATCATATAATGCTACAGTTTCATTTCCTTTATTATAAGGGCAAGATTGTCATAACCTTGGTTTAAAAGACAACAGGCAAACCCTACCTTACTTATGGGGATTCGCCTCCCCTCCGCGATGGTCTTCTTGTTATTTAAATAAGCAGGATAGATACAAATGAACCTGCCACAGAAAGAAGCACAGCTAGTATTACTAGAGCAGTACTGCCAAAATTTCATTCATTCTTTCATCATCAGGATAGCCAGCACGCCTATTATTTGCTTAATATTTTTTCTTTAAATTGCCTCCCCTGTACTTAACTTACTTAAAAAGCAAACTTTAGTTTACTACCCCAGATGGAAAATAACATCACTTATTAGAGAAGGTTTAAAACCAAACCAAAACAATGCCTTCACCGTTCAGTTAGACACAGCTGGCTATCAAGTTCCTGTGGGTGGAGCCTGCTCTCTGAAACCACGCCATCAGAAGTATCAGAACACTTGGAAAAACCCAAACGTGCCTTTCTGAACGTAACAATGAAAAGAACACATTTCTCACTTTGTGAGTCTGTTATTTAATGTCCTGTCCACGTAGCACCCAAAGTCCTTTGTCTCAGGTGCAGGCAGACAGTGAGCTATCTAGAGTCGGAATTTCGGGGACACTACGAAAAGCCTGGAGCTGCTGGGCACCCGGAGGAACCAACACCTGGAAGAGGCCCGGAGCCTGGGGCCGGAGCCAAGCTCCACCCTCCAGCCTTTCTCGGGGATGGGGAGGGCGGTGCAGCACCCCTTCTCAGGACCCACCTGTCCTGGTCGGCCGGGGACCGAGCGGCGGCACAAGCCATCTTCACCCAGGCCCGCAGAGTGCCCACCCAGGACCTCCCGGGGAACTACCGCCCGGAATTCGGTTCTGAGATTTCGCGGACAACTCCGGCTTCCGGCGGAAGTCCTGCCCACCGACGCGCCTACGCGTCCGTGGCTTTTCGCCGATCGTTTGTTCCGGCATCTGTCCCTCGGCGCCAGCGTCTCTAGTTTCTGACGTGGCGTTAGAACCTCTCCTCTCGCGAGAGGATCCACGAAAGCGTCAAATTCCTACTCAAATCTTGTCAAAAGTTTTAAGAGTCTACGCTGCCGCTGAAATGGGGTTACGTTTTTACGGGTCCTTCACGTCCAATTTCACACTGACTTTGAATGGTGTTAGCTACCCTCACCCTTAGGTGAAGGCTCTATACCGCGGGTGATCTGTCTACACAGATCCGAGCAGGCAAGGAAATGCCTTTTAGGTTTAATCTTTATCTGCTTCTGGGCCCCACAGTTTGCTTTCAACTTGGCAAATATGGGTTTTATAGTGGTGAAACAAGAAAAATTACTGGTACTGTTTCAGTGAGCTGTGTAAATGTTAGAAATTTGACCATACACCTTTTTAAACTTCAGAAGATCACCTTCTACCCTATAATTAATTATTTTTTGCATACCTTAGGTTAATTGCAAAGCACTATTTCAGCATTTCCATTCATCAACAGAATACACCTTCACTCCTGTTTTAGTAGTGGTTGCTTATTCCACACCAACAAAGGCACTTTTCATAAAACCGGGCAAGTTAAGATAAATGTTTAATATTACAGATGAAAAAACAAACTAGACAAACCCCCCCCTCACCCCCACCCCCAAAAGCCTGAGTCTCACTGAAGTTAGGTAATTTGCCAATTCAGGCTAATGATGGCTGAGTATAGATATCCAGCTGGTCCGTCTGGAAGCCCCTGACTTTTCTCCATCCCCTCAATCCCCGCCTCTCAGTCATCCTTGTAGTTTCTTAGTACCAGATTAGTTTGGTGCTGATTTAAATACGTAAGTCTTACTTCTTAAAGTATACATGATTCCTGTAAAAAGAGCTTCATGCAATGACCAACAAAACGGAACAGGGTTGAAATGAAACTAAGCTTTAAAATACCTAGTTTGCCTGCTTTAGGATTTTGCTTTTATACTTTAGTTCCATCATAAAAACTCAAATACTTCTTTTCAGAAAATCAACATTTTACATATACATATGGAAAAACTGGGAATGAACAAGGTAGTCTGAGGTTAAATATATGCAGTAGCCTATTTACCATAGGGTTTTCTTAGACCTACGTAATTGCAGACAAAAAACCCAATATTAAAATTGGTTATATTTCCTGGCTCATAAACACTAAGGGAGTTAATGATGGAGCTGATATTTTTGAGTGTCATTGTATGCTAGATTCATAACTTCTATTTAAAACTCTACACTATTGTTGAAATATCCTACAAGGAAAAGATGGTGGGAAGGGAAACAGCAATATTGTTACTGCACTGATGATTAAAGAAACAGTGAATACAAAGTTTTAAAATGCTAATGCTTGTGGAAAAGCAAGCATTAGCAAGCAAAAGGTTGGTTTAAAGGGGAATGAAGTTGGACGTGGAAATGAAAATGATGAAAGGGCTTTAGAGATTGAGGCACTGGTTTTCAAATCTAATTTTTATCAAACTGTCTTCCTTTTCCTTATTTAGATGTGCCACTAAATCCAGCCTGTCAACCTTGGTTGAGGCTTCTGGGTAGGGGTGGGGTGGAAAGAGAAGACCAAGGTGGGCAAGAGAAGTTTTCCAAAATAGTTGAATAAGAATTGGAAGGAGGAAGAAAGGGATGAAAGAAGAGGTGTGATATATATGTGTGTGTGGGCAGGAGGGGACTGGCAGAGATGTAAGTAAGATGATCTGTGAGCTTTGACAGAAAAAGTGATAAGGGGAAGAAATGGTGAATTAGATAATATCTGTGCTACAAATCACTTGATGGCTTCTATTGCATCCAACAAGGACATTTTGAGAAGCTGTGCCAGCTACTCTGAGAAGTGTTAGGGATACAGATAAAAATAATAAAATAACTCTTGCTCAAGTTTCTCACAAGTCTAAGGGGTGAGACTGTTAGGCAGACATGTATACCAGGGCTATCCAAGCCTGCACTGAGTCCATGAGAGTACTCGGGCACGCTTGGGTATGGCTAACTCATGGTTTGGTTTGCCTGTTTCACTTGTGTATTATGATGTAACAAAACACCCTAAAACTTAGTGCTTTAAAACAACAACTTATTTGCTAACAAAACTGTAGTTTGGGTAGAGCTCAGCTGGAACAGCTTATCCCTATTCTATATGGCATCTGCTGGAGCTAGAAAATCCCAAGTGACTTCTTCACTCCTATATCTCTGCCTCAGCTGGTATGGCTGGAACAGCTGAAGGTTGGCCGGTACCTTCCTCTTTCTGTGGTGTAGCCTTTCCATATGGCTACGCTGAACTTTGACAAAGGCTCTCTCCTTGGTGCACCTGGGTGGTTCAGTTGGTTAAGTGTCTGCCTTTGGCTCAGGTCTTGATCTCAGGGTCCTGGGATCAAGTCCAGTGTAGGGTTCCCTGCTCAGTGGGAAGCCTGCTTCTCCCTCTCCCTTTGCCCATACCCTGCTTGTGCTCTCTCTCTCTCAAACAAATACATAAA